TTTTTATGAATGCTTTTATTGTTTCCAAAGTAGTGTCTACCACGTTCTCGAACACTGTTAACAAACTTTGTGAACTTTTCATTCACCGACGAGGTTTTATTTTCGCGCCGAATGGCTTGGTTTTCACTCGATAATTCAATTCGGAAAGTAGAGAGTAAATTATCATCTGTCAGTTTTGACTGATCAAGTCTTAACCGATATTTTTGCTCTGTTTTTCTACGACATTTCAGATGTAGACGAATTTTAGCTCGTAATAAATGATGATCTGTCCCAATACCGCCAATAGCACCTCTATGAACTCGTACATCTTGTACACCAGATCGAAATTTACGATTAACTAGTATATAATCTAACATGTGCCATTGCTTTGTTTTTGGATGCATCCATGTGCCTTGATGGACTGTTTTATATGGAAAGAATGTGTTAGTAACTATGAAGCTATTAAATAAACAGAAATCGACTAGTCGACGACCGTTTTGATTTTGTTTGTCAATAGCATGTTTACCGACAGTTCCTCCAGCGCTATTGGCCTGTTCTACTCCGACACGAGCATTAAAATCACCCATTATCATAATCATATCACTCTTACGGGTTTTATCTATTGTTGCTTGTAGAGTTTTATAGAACTCGTCGCAAGTTTCAATATTATTTTTTACTCCATTCGAGGGATCTATAGGTGCATAAACCGCTATGATGGTGATTGGTACAAGTCGACACTCAATACGTAGAGTTACAATTCTTGAACTCACTGCTTCCCATTGAGCACCTGAGTTCTTCCAAGCAGTAGTAGCTTCAGGACCCAAACATACAGCTGCCACACGTGCAGATCTTGATAACAATTGAGAAGGTGAACCTGAATATATGAACGTATATTCATTTACCACGCAAACACCCGAATGCGGTATTTTGGTTTCAGCCAGTGCCGCCACCTGAATTCTATACCGTTTTAACCGACGAACAATAAGTTCTCGTTTAGTAACCCTATAACACGACCTGACATTCCTTGATCCAAAGAGTGTTACCCTGGTTGTGGTAACAAGTTTGGTTTTGGTTTGTTCATTTTCGTTAGACAGATATTGTTTAACGTCCTACACTCGGGTGACTAGCCCAAAAATAAGACATAGTGGCTCCTGAATCCCAGGGGACGCCCTCCCAGCACCGCAAGCAGCACTGGACCCCCCTCCCCCCGAGAGTACGTAAATACTCCCCAGTAGAGACTTGATACAATATCACGAACAACATCATTTGACATATACATTGGAATGTTAAGTAATCGGATCAGTTTAACTTTACGATAACGTGTATGAATAGCAAATGTTTGATCATTAACTTTTAAATGTTCAAATTTTAAAATTTTTTTCTTTTGATGAATTCGTTTTAAATAAAACGAAACATTTCTTAATATCACCTAAATTACCGAAGGATTCAACATCATCAATCGGTATAATTTTACCAATAGTAGCAATAATAGCTGTACGATCTATACGATCATTACTATCAACTAAAGTTAAGCCAACGAATTCTTGTAATAATTGATGATTTGACATATTATACTAATAATTTATTTTCTTTTGTGCTTTTTAATTTAAAACTTTTTTTTGACTCTTGGTTTTTCTTGATAATGTTGCAACAGATTTTGCAGAATGAGAAGAGTGAAAGAGAAATAACGAAAGATTTAGTGTAGCGAGAAAAAATAAAATTAAAATAAAGAGAATGTTTGTAGAAGTGAAAAGCAGCAAAAAAAATGTAAGATAAGAGAGATGAAAGAAGTTAAAGAAAAGTGAAGTGAAAGAATAAGAAGTGGGAGAGACAGACAGACAGAGGCAACGACGACTAAGCGAAAGGAAGAGAGGACAAACGAAAAAAGGATCAAGAAATTATGCTTTCCTTTTTTAACTTTAGTTTTGTTTAATAATTTTTTAAAACGGTTATGATTTCTCTTTCTCTCTTGTTTTTAAGTGCCTACGGTAAGAACTAAAATATAACCTCTTGGTAAGTTGTAATAAGCAATTTTTCTCCTAGCTGTGTAGAGTGCGACATCTGTGTTGTCTTTAGACATACCTTTTTTCTTATTCTGTGCACTGCGCAATGTGTAAGGACAACATCAATGTGGAGATCTCATTTCTAATTGAATAGTTATCGCTTCTCGGCCTTTTCGGCTAAGATCAAAGTGTAGTATCTGTTCTCGTCGGNCGTTTCTGTATTGTGGTTTTATGTTGGCATGATCTTTTCTTGGCTATAAATACTATAGATTTAGTCTGAAAGGATGTTAGAACTAAGTCTAAGAGAGAGTTGCTCTATATATTATTAAACACGAGACGTTATACTATATATTGCCTTAGTAAAATATTCAATATTTATTGCTTTATTAAATTTTAAAAACTGTGATCAGAACTTTTGGTATACCCTAAGTATAATATCACGTTCCAAATTATCACTATCATGTTTGATTAAGGGTGGAATATCAGCAAACAATTCGTTCCAACAAGTTCTATCAATTGTTTTAATATCATATAATTCTTCATAGAAATTCGTAGCAGTTTCGATCATATCTATGCTTGATTCAACACGTCCTTTCAATGGATGTTCAAGAAAGGTAATTCTAGATTGGTTTGATTTGGTATGGGCAATACGTGCCCTTGCAAAAATACTAAGTGACTTCGCGTCTTGTTCTTGTTGGCCGAGTATATTGTTAGAAATTTTTTCTTCTAAAATTCTATGAATGTCCTTTCGTATAATATCTAATTGGATCATATTATTTTCGGTTGGATTTGTTGCTCGAAACCTATATTCATATTGTAATTGTCGCAATTCATATCTACATTCATCATTGTACTGTCTTTCCTACTCTTGCAAGAGGACAACAAGGCTTGTTTTAAAGTCGAGCAATCAATCCGTTGAATCAAAATCAGCTGATTTAACAATAAAATTCCAGATCATTTGAAATTTTTCCATGAATGTATTTCTTATGATAATCTTTGGATTACATATCCATCTATGGAATTTCTTTTTACTTGTTGACGGAACTTCTAATTTGAGTACAATTGCATCCTGATCAGATAGACCAACTGGTAAATAATATATTTGTCTTGTGCTTTCTCTTATAATTTTGCATCCAAAAAACAAATCAATTCGACTATGTACATTTTTAGAATCACTATGGTAAGAATATGCTATTTTACGTGGATATTTCGAACGAAATATTTTTATCAAGTAGAAGTGGATTTATTATATTTTGCAATAATAATAGATATGAATGATTGTCAGTTTGAATTCCATATTGTATTCGATCTCGGCGATTATTCGGCACATAATTAAAATCGCCTCCAATGATAATCAATTTAGTTGACGGGATATAAAATCGTATATCTTTAAAGAAGGAACACCTTTCAGTAATTTGAGCAGGTGCATATGCACTAATAGTAATGATGAGAATTTTTTCATAAATAATTTTGATGAAGGCAGTTCGGCCATCTGGATCAGTACTAGCATCTATAACATCATATTTCTTTTTAATCATAACCAGTGTACCACCAGCTGTCCAAGTACCTAAACTACATGTTATATTGTAATCTGGAAATGCATTTCTAAATATATCGAGATGTTTAATTTTAGTCATATGTAATTCTTGTAATAATATAACATCATGTGGTGTTTCCTTTAGCCAAGATCTTAGTAAGGCTTGTATACCACATGTCGTAATACCTCCAATATTGTACGATATAATAATAAGCATTGTAATGTAAATAAATTAACTATCAAAATATATTTTTTAATTTTTAATATTGTTTGTACTATTGTTTTTTATATATTTATTATTATTTAAATTAAATTAACTTAAATTTTACCTTCTTCTTCCTGATTCTCCTCGATAGACAGAGAGATATGGACATGCTGCTTTTTCGAATCACTTTCTGTTAAATTGTTTTCATCATGAAGAGGTCTTTTTAGCACATTTTGCCCTTCTTTATATATTGTATATGCTTCTAAAAGATTAATGATCGGTGCTTGATTAATTACATTAAGTGTAAGCTGTTGTTGTACATCTAGTTGCTTTTCCACACCTGGTTGTTGTTGAACATGTGATTGTTGTTCATGAACAACATTATATTTCGTATGACAAGATACAAATTCTACGCCACCGACTTGTTTACCTGCAGATAATACCACCAGTAGTGTAGTACGTCCTTGCACTGCTACTAGTTGTGGGCTTTTGAAATCATCAACATCACGTTCACCAACAACAGTAGGTGTTGAGCATGTTGATAAAAGTTCAGCATTTGATATTGGTGTTGAATGGTGAACCACACCTTGATGATCAACAATGCAATCGTTGTGAACATGACCTGGTTGTTTGCACCTATAACAAATTTTTATTTGTTGTTGCGGTTTACCTAATGAAGGAGTTTGTTCAATTCTATGGGTATCAGCTGTTGGTGTTGTTGTTGATCCTGATAATGTTCCGGCAACATTTGCACAAGATCTTTGTTTTATACAATCAGGATTATCATGACCAATTTTCATGCATATCCGACATTTTAATGCAGTACATTCAGATTTAACGTGTCCTGATAATTTACAACGATAACATACGTATTCGACGAACAAAAGCTTTAATAGATGAATATGGTCATGGTAGATTCTCACATTCAATATTAACCACTGTACCACTCCATTTTGATACAATAGATAGATAGATAGCCAATACTGGTATACCAGTTTAGGCGAAGAGCAAACGGCAGTTAAAATACTAAAAAGAAAATTTACAGAGACAAAAGGACACAACACAGACATAAAACACAAAAAGGACTAAGATGATGACAAGGACATTTACATATATACAAGACAGAACATAAAACAACACACTACATATAAATAAATAGCAAACCAGAGTAACTTGAAATCATAGATTAGAGAGTTGTGTCTCTAGAAGAAAAGATTGTTGCGTCGATCATCAGTCTGTCACCTCCGGACCACAATCGGATCCGGTTTCAGTGACAGTCATCATAAAATACAACAATCTAACTCAGATTTCGGATCTTTAAGTTTGAACTTCTTGTTCGATCAGCCATGCTTTAGCGCATGCTTTGACATGCATTGTTGCACCTCGTGCTTTTAATATTTTTCGGCACATATTATTTGGACATATATATTTGTTTTCATCTTTTTTTATTAGTAAATTTATTATTTTCATATTTTTTGTGGTAGTGTCCTTATTTGTTGATGACATTGTTGTTAGTTGATGCATCTCCTTAGTTTTAGTATCAGTTGATGCCTCCGTTGATCGTTTTTGTATGCATACTCGTTTACGTATGTTCATACCTCGTTTGCTTTTAAACGTTCGCCCATATAGTGAGCATGTTGCATCAATATTTGTTACTGTTGTTGTACTTGGACTTGGAGGACTATTCATTTTTGTGTACTCAAAAAGTGAGTACACTCTAAAATCGGTCATTGTGTCCGGCCGTCCGTTTACACAATAACTTTTGAAAAGAGAATCCAATCGCGATGAAATTTTCTACATAGTTCAGTCTTAGCAATATCTCGGTCGAGTTCGAAGATGAGAATAATTGGTCGAGCCATTTCTGAGTTATTGAAAAAATACTCATTTTTCTCTATGGCTTCCTATGCGAAAATCGATCCATCCATGCTTTCGTAAAAGACTTTTTCTATCATACTCAAATAAAACCCCAACTATTATATACCATTCGATAGAGAATTTCACGAGCTACAAAATGGTATATAAAACATAAAGAAACAAGAAGGGTAACTCATCTATTGCAAAGATAATTAAACAAAAGTTGGTCCTGTTTTTATCGATGCTCTAATGGATTCACAATTAGAGTTCTATCTTCCGATCACAGAGGTGATACTTCGAGGTTTTCTGGGGCGGAGAACTCGAATCTGTACTCCACTTGCTTCGAAATCCTATTGGTTGAGCAGTGACGAATAGAAATCAAGCTATCGGATAAACGGCTTTCTGAGGATAAATCAAGGCGAAGAGTTCAAATCTGAGCGGTATTCGTCCCCAAATCCTATTGATTGAGTAGTAGCCAATAAAATTCAAGTGTTTATCCCAAAGGTTTGTCAGGATGATTTTTACGTCCACATATTCTAGGATGGCCCAGCTGTCTCATTCACTTTTTGAAGTACACATAACTCTCGGATTTAAATCCGAGGTTTTCACATTTATTTTTATTACAATCAAGAAGACTTTCATCTGCCCGACGTTTTTTTGCTCTTTCTTTATGTTCATGTATGACATGAACTGCATCCGATCGGACTGTTGTGGGCTTAACTTCTTTATTGATTGTTTTACGCCACTTCTCCTTATCTTGAACTTCTCGTCTCCAATTTTTTATCTCACACATTGTGAGATCTTTAGCTATTTTGTCTCTCCATCGTAATTTGGCCCCATGTGGGGGCCTTTTAGCATCAACAAAAGAAGAGAAGAGAACCTTTTTCGGCAAGATTGGGTGATCTTTGTTGTTCATTCGGTTGACATGACCGAACCACCTTAGCCTATTTCTCCTCAAGATCTTTTCTAAGGATGGCTGTCCAGTCAACCCAAGAATTAGATCATTCCTCATTCTGTCACCACGACACACACCTAACAGTGTTCGAAGACATTTCATGTAAAATGTATTCAGTCGTTGTTCTTCGACAACTTTTAGACACCATAACTCGCTACCGTACAGCAGAACTGGCAGAATACATGCTTTAAATATTCTAACTTTTGCTTGAATAGATATGCATTTCCTGTACCATACAACACGACGAAGTGAGTTAAACGCGTTAGAAGCTTTTCCTAAGCGTACTTCTATTTCTTTAGATTGCGTTTGATCATTAGCTATATTACATCCAAGATAATTAAAATTGTCCACAGTTTCTATATTTTGATCTCGAATAACAATATTTGATGGAACATCCTTCGCTTTGCCTTTCGTTTCATGCTTTCCTATTGTTTTATTGAATTGCTTTAGTGACATAGTACATGTTTTTTTAATGTTCATATTTAGACCAAAGTCATTAGTGACTCTTTCGAACGCTTTTATAAAATGTTCTAGATTTTTTGGATTGTCACACATGATAACAATATCATCTGCATACATTAAAGTCAATAGATGTACATGATGACTACCATTTCCTTTACCAGAGAGCCAGAAATCACCAAGACGCCATGATAACTTGACACCCTGAACGTTAGCTTGTTTAATTATTTGTTTCATAATATAATCAACATATACATAGAATAAGATTGGAGAGAGAATACAACCTTGTCTCACACTAGTATTCATTACAAAGCTTTCACTAACGTCATCGTCGATTCGAACTTGAGCAGATGTATCCTCATATAGCAATTGCAACATTCGTACTATCTTTTGTGATAATCCATACGCTCGACACACTCACCAAAGTGCTTTTCGATTGACAGAATCATATGCTTTCTTTAGATCAATAAAGCACATATGTAGAGGTTGATTAAACTCTCTTGAACTCTCCATGACCATTTTTAGTATGAATACTTGATCCATGGTGGATCTTCTTGAACGAAAGCCTGCTTGCTCCTCCATCAACTTTCTATTAAGTGAAGCCTGAATACGATTTAGTATGATTCGGGTAAAGATTTTTCCTGCAACATCTAGTAGGGATAGGCCTCGATAGTTGTCACAAATCTGTTTATCACCCTTATTCTTGTATAGTCGTATTATAATGGCTTCAGTCCATTCCTTTACCATTACCTCCTGTTCCCATACATCGCGAATAATTTCATGTAACCATTCAGCGACATAGTGACCGCCCGCTTTTAGGAGTTCCGCTGGTAAATCGTCTTTTCCTGGAGCTTTTTTATTTTTAATTTGCCCAATTGCTTTTACAACCTCATCTAGAGTTGGTACAGCGTCCTGTCGAGAAAGCTCTTCATTATCAACTGTAGGACTTGGAATTTGTTGTAAAACTTGTTCGCTTACCGTTGTATTACCGTTGAGCATTTCATCAAAATATTCTTTCCACCGATTCAATTAATCTTTACTGTTAGTTAGCGTTAAGCCGTTCTTATCCTGGACTGGTATGTGATTTATACTTGGTCCATTTCCACGTAGCCTTCGAATGATTTGGAAGGCAGTTGTTGGATCGTGTACTTTGACTGCATTTTCTATGTCTATGCTTAACTCTTCCCAATATTCATGTTGTCTAGCATATACTTTGTTTTGTACTATTTTTGCCAACGTTCGGTATCTGTTTCTATATTTATTCTCGTTGGTTGTGCTACGATGCAGTTACCAGTCTATGTAAGCTTTAGCTTTTTTGTCGACAATTTCCTTTAGTTCTGGTGTGAGCCATTCTTTCCCGTTTTTATGAATGCGTTTATTGTTTCCAAAGTAGTGTCTACCACGTTCTCGAACACTGTTAACAAACTTTGTGAACTTTTCATTCACCGACGAGGTTTTATTTTCGCGCCGAATGGCTTGGTTTTCATTCGCTAATTCAATTCGGAAAGTAGAGAGTAAATTATCATCTGTCAGTTTTGACTGATCAAGTCTTAACCGATATTTTTTTCTCTGTTTTTCTACGACATTTCAGATGTAGACGAATTTTAGCTCGTAATAAATGATGATCTGTCCCAATACCACCAGTAGCACCTCTATGAACTCGTACATCTTGTACACTAGATCGAAATTTACGATTAACGAGTATATAATCTAACATGTGCCATTGCTTTGTTTTTGGATGCATCCATGTGCCTTGATGGACTGTTTTATGTGGAAAGAATGTGTTAATAACTATAAAGCTATTAAATAAACAGAAATCGACTAGTCAACGACCGTTTTGATTTTGTTTGTCAATAGCATGTTTACCGACAGTTTCTCCAGCTGTATTGGCCTGTTCTACTCCGACACGTGCATTAAAATCACCCATTATCATAATCATATCACTCTTATGGGTTTTATCTATTGTTGCTTGTAGAGTTTTATAGAACTCGTCGCAAGTTTCAATATCATTTTTTACTCTATTCGAGGGATTTATAAGTGCATAAACCGCTATAATGGTGATTGGTACAGGTCGACACTCAATACGTACAGTTACAATTCTTGAACTCACTGCTTCCCATTGAGCACCTGAGTTCTTCCAAGCAGTAGTAGCTTCAGGACCCAAACATACAGCTGCCCCATGTGCAGACCTTGATAATAATTGAGAAGGTGAACCTGAATACATGAACGTATATCCATTTACCACGCAAACACCCAAATCCGGTATTTTTGCTTCAGCCAGTGTCGCCACCTGAATTCTATACCGTTTTAACTGACGAACAATAAGTTCTCGTTTAGTGACCCTATAACACGACCTGACATTCCATGATCCAAAGAGTATTACCCTGGTTGTGGTAACAAGTTTGGTTTTGGTTTGTTCATTTTCGTTAGTCAGATATTGTTTAACGTCCTACATTCGGGTGACTAGCCCAAAAATAAGACATAGTGGCTCCTGGACCCCAGGGGACGCCCTCACAGCACCGCAAGCAGCACTAGGCCCCCTAAGAGTACGTAAATACTCCCCAGTAGAGATCTTTCTAAATGAACGGCAACCACACTCACACCCTTTTTCATTTAAACTAATTCATAGATTGACTTCTTTATTCTTTAACTGTATTTTACATGTATATCAACAATTCTCATTTCAAATAAATAAAGTTCATCATCTTTATGTGCGATTTTAATATTTTTTCAAGACAAAATGAAACTCAAACGAAGAACTATCGATAACAATACTTTGAATATTGAAGATATTTTTCAAAAAGAAGAAAAATCAATGTTAACAATCACTTTTCAATTCTGAGTAAACTTATCAATTTCTTTTTATTCTATTATGCACTACAAATCGGTCTTATTTTATTTCTACAAAAAAAAAGAAAAACAAATGACAATTTTTGGCGATCATTAGTAATAAAAGTTGATTTTGAATTTAAATGAATTTAATATTCTGAATGATCCTAACAACAATATAGAGTAATACACCTTGAATAACAAAATTTATCGGATAGGAATCAGATACTTCACTTTCTCTTAACGATTTTATTATTTTCATGTCGGTTTGCAGTGAGTCAGATTATATTTCTATTGAATAGACTTTTTTATTCAAGAAGTATTACTTAATATTGTTGTTTAGGATCATTCGAAATGTCAAATTGATTTAGGTTAGAAATCAACTTTTATTACTAATTATCGCCAAATATTTAGTGTTTTTTTTTTTGAAAATTAAATAAGACAGAATTGTGGTGCATAATAGAATGTCATCGATAAAGTCTTATAGATAATTTTTCTTGATAAATCAAATGTTTTATTGATAATAAAAAAATCTCTTGACTAATAAGAAAATGTTCGATATAAATGTGAGTTTTTTTTCTTAAGTAATAAATGAATATAAATACTTGTCAATAAGATGTTTGATAAGGAACAACAAAAATTTAAAAATAGAAATACAGAAGATAATCATCTTAATGAAGACACAATTACTATCATCTAAATTTATCTAATGAGAAAATGTTGAGTATATAAATAATGTTAAAAATAGAAAAAAATCAATGGCTCTAAATATATATAGATAAGTAGAAATTGTTCCCAATATATCATTAGTGATATCAGAGTTAAGGAGAAGGGTGATTGTGGTTGTTGATTATCTTCACACTCATACCATACCCCACCTACACCCTTCAATTCTGTACTTTTTTGTTTTCAAAAAAACAGAAAAACTGTGAGATCGATTTTCAATGATGCTGTGAGATCACTTTTTCTCCTACCTGAACAAATTTTTTTTCCTTATTTCATCTTTTTATTGCTCAATATGTTATCTTAAAATAATACAATACACCACAAGATGCAACGTGAAGAAATCTACAATCTGGATAGTGAAGCTTATCTTAACTGTGTATCTTTTATTTTGAAAAAATGTGCGATCATTTTCCGCAGCAGAGAAAATTGATCTAACACTTTTTGAAAAGGTCACAACTAAGTAGATTGTAGAGCTTTTCGCGCTGCATCTTGTGGTATGTCTTATTTTTTTTTTAACACAACTCATTAGTTGATAAAATAATGATATACAAAACATAGACATTTATTCTGGCCTGTCCGTTAATTATTACAAAAAAATCCTATGAATTTTAAATTACTTATTTTTTTACGACTGTAATAGATAGACAGCTGAAATTCTAGGGTGGGGTTGATCTAGATGTCTAATAGTATTAGTCTTTTCCACCGAAAAAACATGAAAAGGGAAAAGATATGTTTCAATTATTTGTAAAATAAAAGACAGCAATTATAATGTTTATCAGATATATAACTTATGTAATAATTTAGGGTTCTCTGATGGATTTTAAAAATTCACCAAATTTGAGTGCAATCTTGCTTATTTTCTAAATTTTAGTGTGGATGAATAGGAGATAAAGACTGACATATTCTGTCTTTTTTTTCTATGAAAAATGAAAGACAAATGCTTCTTCTCAACAGTTGCTATGGTCTGTTCTATATAGCTGAGAAATGACAGCAGCAACGGTCTTGAAGTGGTTTCTTGTCGTCGTACAATGAACGTATTTGCTAGATATTGAACGTCATAAAATCTAAAAATGTTTTTTCATTCTATCTTTTTATTTTATTATATTGAATATAAACTATTTATTTATTGAGAAATATTTGACGTATTCTAAAGACCTATTTATAATTGATAATGAAAATGCAGGAACCTTTTTTTTCATTTATTTTTTTTTAACTAATTCAAACAGAAATGAAGTTACAAGAGAGGAAAATAGAGATAAAACTCTTTCAAATGAACTATTGTCTCTTCAAAAATTATTCGTTTAACTTGAAGACAATTGAGTCGCGTAGCATCTCGCGTAAAATTCTCTGTGACAATTTTCAATTTCTCGTACTTCACTTTTAGTTCAGTTAAACGAGGTAAAGAAATTTTTGTATGAAGTAGAAACTGTTCAACATAATCAATGTGCACATATATTATAGTAAGTGATGTTAGATGAGGATATTCGACAATTGAATAGGAATTATTTGTATCACGTTGAAAATCGGTATGATTCAATGATGGTGATAATGCATTCATAACATGAAACTTTCTAAGATGTGGAAAAAATTGAGCAACTCGAATGAAGAATTCATATTCGAATGGTATTGTATCACACACCCATAAATAAGTAACGTTACTAAATACAATAGTTGGAAAATTATTGCCAATTCTTTCTAGACAATCAAATTCAAATGGAAGCGAAAAAACATGACATAAGGCTTTATCGTCGTACATGTAGTCAATAATACAAGCTACTTTTTCATATCCGATATCTGTGAATGTTAATTTAATATCATCATTAGATAAACAACGAACTAAACCATCAATGTAAGTATAGCTACTTATATAAAATGTGAGTCTTTCAAGTTGTGCCATTTTAATAAGTATTTCATTATAAAGATGGTTACCATCGATGAATGTATGTCGGTCATTAATCCAAAGATATAAAGTTAATTCTTCAAGATATTGTAAACGGCGAAGAAGAGGAAGAATTTGATAATCGTATTCATCAGTTACGTCAAAACATGTTAATGAAAAACATTTCAAATTAGGCAGATCTTCCTAGAAATAAAAGCTACATTTATCACATCGTCTAACCAAAAATTCATATTCATCATCGATAAAAACCTATTCTTCAAATATTTGATAAAGATATATTCTCAACAGTTAATAGTTTCTTTTTTATTGATAGGTTTAAGAACGATTTCATTCTAATCAATAATAATATATTACAAAGTCAAGTAATATCATATGAAAATATGAACACCATTATCTCTGATAGAATTTAATTGTTTGAAAAAGTTTCGAAAATAATATATGAACTTACTATATTGTGCGTCATCGATGAATGATTTTCTATATCGTTTATTTGGACAATAAACGTATTTAATTGTTTAAGACGACCATCAAGTAAACAAAAACAATCTTCAAAATTGTTCACTTCAATACGTAATTTCGTCAGAGTAGAAGAATAACACATTGTCGATGGTAAATCACAAAGTGAAAATGATGGGTATCCATTTTTTGCTGAGTCAATAACACTCAAACACTTCAAATGTTGAAAGAAAGTCAATATATATCCATAGACATTTGTTGTATAATCTATCATTGATATTCCTTCAATGTTTTCATTCATCATAAGGACAAGGGTTGTTATCTGTTCCTTGAAAATATGCCGATTAAGTGACTCATCTAAACAAAAAATTCATTTTATGGACTTAACTCTTTCAATACTAATTTATTTTAATCTTGTAAAAAGATTAAAACATGATTTATTTACCTGTGAAATAACATGAGACAATACTTTTATTAAAATTAAAGATTTTAAGCTCACTGAAATTAGGATAATTGGCAGCAAAAAGAATTTTTCCCATCGACAATGGTTCGAGAACAAGAGATTTAATATTATGATCAATCTTAGGTAATATTTGCTTACAAAATCGATCAAGTACTCTATCAGCAAACGAAGAAACATTATCAGGTGAGGATATTGAAACCAATTTGAGACTGTTAGTAAATTGATAATTTTCTGTTAGAAAATTGAGTCTTTTATTAATACCAAATAGTGAATAAAGAACATCAACATTGTCGAGTTTTTTCAAAATAATAAGTAATATTTCATTGGGCAGGTCAAAAAGTTGAATACCAACTTGATTCATATATAATTTATATTAAAATGCTCGCATTATTTCATTCCTATTGACAAAGATATACTCATTGTTTGATTGTGACCAATGTCCTGATTGACGAATAAGAATGTATCACTTTGTTGAAAAAAGTCTATCTTTATTGTATAGGTCAATTTACACGTTGATCAAAGCTTTTCTCTTCTTTAATACGTCATATTTAGTCTATGGTGACATCTGTATCACTCATCAAATCAATGGTCAACTGACCGTCGACTTTTTGCACTTCGAATAAAAGTTCCTATTGTAGAATTAGAACACCCATACTATTGTATGTATACAGAACAGTAAAAAAACTTCTTGGTGCAACATATAATCAGTATATTGCGACAATGGTGGTACTCCTATTGTGCAGTAGTGCCGAGAACTTTCACTTGTCTCTTATTTACTTAAATGATAGACTATTCAACATAAATTAATATATTTATTGTTACCAAATTTTCCGCAGAAAAAAATTTTCTTATTAATTATTTTTTTTTCTTCGTTCTTATGCTATGCTATTCAGAGGCGGCGGAGCCATTAGGCTTGGGGAGGCTCGAGCCTCCCCTAAAAATAGTAAGGGGAGGCTTGGAGAGGCTCAAATATTTCAAAACATTTTACAAATATAATCCGACGTTTATGCATTCTTAGTGAGAGCTCTTTGTATAAGAATTGCTTCGTGTTTTNGAAATATACGTTGAAAATCATAGTTCAAAGCCGAACTTTTTTCAACAATCTACATCGAAAACACAGAAGCATTACTTGTATTCATATCAGTACCTACCTATTCAGTTTGCCGGAAATTCACCGGTTCAAGAACAACTTATAAACGGCCGTTTTCCGGCCGGACCGGACCGGACCGTTTTCAAAATTTCTTACCGGTTCCAGCTCTGGTCTAAACATCATTATGAAAATAAGTTTCTTCATAATGCAGATACTTCTATTATAGGCACAAATCAATACCATAAAAAACTAACGTAACAATAGAGATTGTTAACACAATTTTCTACTGTATCATTTCTTCCTGACAAACGTTTTTCATATTAAAATGAACTATCATCTTCATTCTTAAGAGGCCTACGAGAGACGTTCCCCAATTGATTAATCGCTTCTGAATCAGGATTATGTACATATATCATATAGACTAATGATCTATGAATATCTGGTGAAGAGTCCGAACTCTCAGCTTATTGTCGTGGTCTCTGTCATGAAAAGTGAATTTTCCAATTTTGACTTGAAACTTTGCAGAAACAGGCCTTAATTAGAATAGTATATTATGAAAATCACTCATATACATATAAAAATTCAAGATTCTTATTTCAGGATAGGAGCACATTAAAAGACCTGAAACTTTCACACTAGACTATTCCTATTAAGTAACTTACAAAATACCATAAAAATATGATATCTTTGCAGCTATAAGTTAAGAGTTTGAGTTCTTTTGCAAATTATTCATAGTACATTAGAATCTTTATAGTGCACGTAGTTTCGACACAAAAACGATTAATCAATCGAAGAACTTCTTTCATATCAGTGACTATACCTTTAACTTGTTCTTTTATGTATGATAAAACATCTGGTGTACACATTGAAAAGAGAGTTTTTTCGAATGGTTTAGTATCACCAATATCCAATTCAGGTACTGTTCGGCCAAGACCTATTTAAAACAAAATAGAAATGTTTTAGCTTCTAAAATTTATTACCTTTTGGATATTGTTCAGTAACAACATATGGTACATCGAGAATTTTACAAGCTTGTAATAATTTATTTGATGTTTCGACAATTTGAGAAAAATATTTTATTACTGGACGAAATTTTTCTTGAATATCACATAATAAAACGATCGATGTTTGACGTGAAAGAGGTGTTACACGTTGAGCCATCTTTATTGTTTTCTAAAACTCGATAAAATTCTATTTGAAAATATAAAACATGTGCTTCCTTATAAGTGCTTGTCTGATTGGTTGAATTTTCTACCATGATAGTTGTTCAGTAGCCTCCTTAATCTTTTTGAATTTTATCAGGAAATTTTTTTTAATAAAATCAATTCATTTTTATAATGAAAAAAAAATTATATTTAAAGAAAGAAAAGAGATATGTTTCATTTATAAATTTGACACATTATGAAGCATGACATCATCTGATCGTTTATTGACATATTTGTTCATATTATATTGAATTCAGCTGAACATTAAATAATGAAAAAAAAGATATTCAGGTAAGAATTATCGAATTCATGAAATTCAATTCATCTAATCGAATAATAATACTAACTATTAAGAATAATTATTTTGTCAACGAAATCTTTTTTTCCTGTACAATAGCAAAACAAAGACTAGATTATTCGATGTAATGAATACTTAACTCGATTAATTTTTTTATAAAAAATTTCAATGACATAATAATATTTTGTGTTTTATTACTAAACATAATTCAAATATATTACCAAAGAAATATAGACTAAATCGTTGAATTACACAAAATGTTAATCTATGATTTATACATAATTAGCTATAATTTATGTAACAAGTTGTTCTTTTATAAAATATCCATTGTGAAAATCCTATTTATTGATATCTTGTTTTCCGCTGCTGTAGACGCTAAGAATAATCCAAGTAGTAATTCGATGAGAGAATTTTGTTTTTAACAAGAATTTTTCGTCGATGAGAATGTTTCCTAGTATTTCAGTTTCGAAAATTTGCAAATAGAATTCTATTTGAAGTGCATAGAATGATAAAGAAAACAATTCTTCTAGGCCTTTTTTTTTTGATCGAGATACATCAACCTCAGGAAGGAGAAATACAAAAGTTGTTTTTTTTCCGTTATTCCATATGGAAACAATTTTTTTGTATCTTCCGTGAGATTGATTTGTCTCGGTCAAGAAACGTCATAAAAAGTCTAGGAACTAAAGAAATAAAACTCTCTATTTAAAAACAGTATTTAGATTTATCTTAGTATTTACAGCAGCAGAGGAAAAAAAATCTGATCAAATAATTTTGGACTTGGGTGTGGGTTCAATAGCGATAGTAAAGAGTTACATTGAAATTGTTTTGAATTCAGCTTTATTTTATTATATTAACTCAAAGAAAAACAAAATTGACACGAATTAAAATGTGTTAATGTTATTTTCACTTTCATATTTTTATCTTAGAACAAGAAATTCTTTTTTAAATAATACAAATACAGTTGATATTAAGATATCATTATTAGAAGTAAATTACATTGTTATTGCAAAAATTTTGTTGAATATTTGACTATTAATAATAATGTTTTACTTTTGGAATTTGTTTGTTATATAAACGAAATAAGAGAAAGAATATATTTTTCTTTTAGTTATTATCTATTTTTGGTTACTGAAAATATATCAGCCATGACATCGTAGATAGAATGTATGAGATACATACATTGATCAAGATCTACATAATAGAGTTTGTTTTCATCATAGTTTTTTATTTACAGAAAAAACAAACTGAAACAGAATGTATTAGTAATTTTGAATTTTTAAGTTAGTTTTGTTTTTTTATGAATTGAAATTCTTTGAATGCATTTTATGAAATAAATGACCCTTAAATATGTTGTCCGTCTTATATAAAAAATTTTTGACTATGTATGTTGTCGGTTTTCTTTCTTTCTATCAACAAAATATCATTACTATTCCTGATTATGGTTCATTTATTATCTTATATGAAAAACTTTTAAATAATCTGGTAAAACAGACAACTGCATTAGTTGAAGATGGATATAGCTCGATATGATTTAGAAAGTTTTATCAGGCAATATTCTCAAGTGATCTACTTCGGTTGCCTCCATATTTTGTTAATATGTAGGAAGTTATTAGAGTAGCGTAATCTTCAAAGATTTTATAGTCATGACTAGATTTGATTGATACAACAGTTTTTTAAATAGACTTCTCCTTCAGGAGTCCAATTTTCGAAAAAACTTATATTTGAAAACTTCATAATAGAACTTTGTATACATATCAAGGTTTCTATTAGATTTGTTCATGTATAAAGTATCATCAATTTCTTATACTGACTTGTCAAGATATGGATTTCTCAATAAATCTTTATTTTACACAGCGCTTAAAGATATCTATTAAAATTTTGTATATAAAATAGTCTAATCAAAATCTTTATGTGTACAATTTCAGGTCGAAATTCTCATACATAATTACAGATAGAGATTATGCTACTGTAGTAATACACTACATATTGGAAAAATATGTGAGTAAACGGAGTGGATCATTTGAGGAAGTTCTCTCGTTAACATATGTTCTGTTAGAATCAAAATATTTCGTCTTGTTTCATAACTCAATTGAAGAACTAAATGAATTATTCAATATTATTCTTTGAGTACTATGAATTCTATGCATCATTAGTAATTCCAATTAGATTTAAGTAGCCTCTTACTTTCTTTTTTCATTGTCAAATATCTTTTTAATTATTTATTATTTCATAAATTTTAAAAAAATGCCATTAAAAACATCGTTATCTTAAATGTAATCTATTTCTCGATAGAGATATCTCATCTAAAAGTGTAAGTAACATACTTTGATACGATGGATATATATCGCATGTAACTACTGCTATTTTTTTTTCCTCGTGTCTAAAAATCAAGCGAGAGATGGATTACATAGTTGCTAGTGGTAATGAATGTGTAGCAACAAAATCAAGCATTACACACAGTACATTTATGTTTGCATGTTCAGGATAAGAAGAAGAAAAAAAAATGAGATTGCACAACTAACTAAGTTGGTGGTTCGTCTAAGTGAGTGAGTGACAGAAGAATGAAAGAAAGACAAAAAAAAAAGAAAAGAGCGGACAATCGATGGGGTGGTAAGCATACTGAAGGGCTAATGCATGTAGATGTGATGACGCACCGAAGTGAGTCAATGACTAATCTTTCTATTTTTTTTTCTCTAGCTTCGATGACAATTTTTTTTTATTTGATCTTAGAGTGTATGTATATACAACATAAGTTCATTTTTAATCAATTTCTTTTCTTTACTGTGTTATTGTATGTAATAATGAACTCGCATGAATATAGCCATGCTAAATCTTCCGTAATATTTTGCGGTCGCAATTCTTAACACGAGGCATAAGTCAGCTGACAAGATTGCACGTCATAGCATATTTGATGATTGATGTATAAGAACGAAGAAAGAGAAAAAAAATGCGACCTTGTATTTTTTTTCTTGCTGTTATTGGCAAGCGGATAATAGAACGAGTGTGTATAATAAGTGAGAACAACAAGGACAGGAGACATCGACAACATAGGATAAACATCTATGAATTATTATAGATAAATATGGCTGCTACTGAAGTACTTGGTCGATCATTTTCGGATGCTCTTTATGAACGTTACTGTGATTTTGAATCAACATTTGATGATCTTAAAAATGATTGTGATATCGTTTTTTTTGTTGGTTCATCACCAAAACAAACAGGTAAGAAAAAAGAAAATTCAATCATATTTAATTCATTTTTATAAAATATTTCGTATTTTGTTTGTTTGTTTTAAGAATCTGGTCTTATTCTTAATGCATCAACTGTCGTTTTAACTGATGAACGTATATCTCATGTAGGTGATTCTCGTGCTGTAGCAATATCATGTTCACATGTTGAACTTGTTGATATATCATCAAATGCATTCTCGGATTGGCATGAAGTATATTTATTTTTCTTTGTTTATCTTATTAGATCATTTATTGATATCTAGATATCACTTCTTCTTTCATCATTACCTCATGTAAAAACAATTAATTTAAGCTTCAATCCATTCCCTTCTGATTTACATATTTTATCGGTCGAATTACAATGGCCAAATCTTAATACTCTATGTCTCAATGGAAGTCATATTGGTCTTGAAATGATTGTGGAATTACTTAAAAAGACACCAAAGTAAGTTTATATTCAAATTTTTTTTTGAAAATTCTATTTAGATTATGAATCAACGAAAATAAAAACAAAAATGTATATTTTTGTTCTCTTTATTAATCAGTGAAAAATATTGTTTCTAATGTAACTATGAATCATAAGGTAATGAAAAATATGACTCAAGTTGAGTCATTGAAAATTTCAAGTTGTAATAGACAAATATTTAAATTGAAAAATAATAAGTTATTCAGATGATTATTAACAGGGCATACCTATGACTAATGATGTTCCAGAACTGACACCAGATTTACTAGGACTATGACTAGTGAGGTAACTTTTTACGTGATCTTCTTTCGTTTTAATGATCTTTTGCCTATAGATCATTAAGATAAACAAATAAAATATCTTTGCATCGGTTCAATCAAATAGGCTGATTTTTTTGTGATTATTGATAGAAATTTATGTAAAGTTTTTTTTTTTCATACGGATAAGAACAGTAAATACTACTTTTAAGTATCATGAAAGAAATTTGACCTGTTATCAAGTAAAAATATACATGTGTAGTGTTTCATAAATAATTTTTAGTTGTCATCTAAGAGAATAATAAGTACAAGTTAAAACGAACTTTATGAATGATTCTATATCGATGTACCTAAAACAAGTTTTCAAAACAAGAGAATATTAAATGGTGAAATTCATGTACGATAAGTAAAATGCACAATTACAACTCTTTAGATCTTAAAAACACAAACTTTCTTGCAAAAACTAATGTTCTATGTTTGATATATGTGCATCAATATAGAATTGTCCATAACGTTTGTTTTGACTTGATTTTATTACTCTTATATGACAAATGAAAATTATCTATGAAACATGACACATGTATTTTTTTTTTGGTTGATAACAGGTAAAATTTCTTTCAAAATATTTAAAAGTAATATTTACTTACCTTATCCGAATAAAAAAACACTTTGAATACATTCCTATCAATAACTAAAAAATCAGTCTATTTGATTGAACTGATGTAAAGATATTTCATTTATTTTTATCTTAATGCTATTTATGGCTTACACTGTAAAAGACCTGATCGGAACCCAAATCCTTTAAAGGTTTTTACTAAAGCACTAAAAGGCATCTATAGGCAAAAGTCATTGAAACTGGAGGGAAGGGGGGCATCGACAAAGGTGTCCACAAGAAACTAAAAATGATGTGATCTGCCCATTTCGATCAGTGTTGTGGAAAAAAATAATACTTTACAAAATTTTTCAATTTTAAACTTTTATTTTCGTATTGATTTGAAGAAATGCATTCGTGATATATATACTCAATGAATCTATAAGCCAAGATCAATGCTTTTTTGTTTTAAGGCAAATTCGTAGTAGATAGAGATATTTTTATTTGTAAACGTTCCACTATAATTGCAGACACAACAACAAATCCACTAGATATTGGAATAGGATACTTTCATAGAAAAAACAAGAAAATTTCTCATTAATAATTACTTCTCAGTTGAAATTTGCTGCAGCCATAGAGCTACCCAGGCAGACAAACTTTTGAGAAAACGCGTTTAAACGCACAGAAATTGGCCTAAAATCAGCAAAAAGTGGACGTTTTCGGATCACACTTGAGGTTCCCGACTGTGAGCCAAAAACGCCCATTTTTCGCCCTTTTTGTGCGTTTAAACGCGTTTTCAGACAAAACACGCGTTTACACGCATGCAAAAAGGAGAAAAAAATTGTTGTGTTTTTCCAGCTCAAGAAACGTGACAGTAATCATGATCGAGCATCCCGAGTCT